CCAGCAGTCGGGAAAAGCCTAGACCAACAACCGCTTGATGGCACTGTTGTTGGTCGTACCCAGGATAAGTCTTTGTCTCCTATGTCCCCTATTTTTCGTTTGTCTAGTCTCTCAGTGTCAGGAATGGTTGTGGAAGAATCATCAATGGAAGGAAAACATCTTGTTGTATTGTGTAACCTTTCGTTTGGTGACAAAACTATTGCCACGCATGCGCTGATCGACTGTGGGGCAACCGGAATTGCATTTGTAGACAAAGACTTCGCCCGCCATCACCACCTACCCCTCGTACCCCTGAAATTCCCGCGAAGTCTCGAAGTCATCGATGGCTGTCCCATCGAGTCAGGCGACATCACACATGTTGCCACCACCACCCTGTTCATACAGGAACACCACGAGGAAATCCCTATGTTTGTCACCAAACTAGGCCACTACCCCGTTGTACTCGGCCAAGCTTGGCATTTTATGGGTAACGCTAATCAGTTAGTTTTTTCGGGTTCGACACGTAGGCCAATTTCGCAGGCATACCACCTCTCTAGTACAAAGATCTCTCGGCCTTCTTGGCACGTTCCGCGTGCACGCGTAGATCAGACGCGTCACGCTTCCCGAACTTGAGCTTATCTTCGCGTCGAGCGCCGTGCGGACTCAACAATGATCCAATGATGAACCCGCCGGATTGTTTTTACTTCAAAGCTGCGAGGCGGGGTCCAGTTTCTTGGCGGGATCTTATTTACTTTAGCTGAACGTCTGTGTCTTTCTTTGCGATACTCACCGCGTTGTTATCCATTGTGGTCCGTATATCGCGCGTAGTAACTAACACGTGATGGAGATGACGCTTGGTAGATAGTGGTTGGCAGGGCAACCACACGGACCCTGCTCGGGTCACCTTCGTCTCCCTTCCACTGCTCTCTCAATTTCACCATCTTCGTCTCGTTCCGTCCACTGCCTACTCTCGACGTTTTACCGCTACCACCCCCAAACTTCGATCTTACTACGGTCGCACAAGCATGGACTTCACCGCCTGCCTCTGTCGCCACACCGCTGGCACAGAAGGACTACTCGCAGACTCCTGAATCAACACGATCCACGCCCAGAAGAACACCCGTCGCGACGGCAACAGTATCAGCCTCCGAAAGAGCCTCGGTGGTCGGATCCAAACATACGAAACCAACGGACGCTTGTTTAAATACAAAATACACCAAAATTAAGGATATGAAGTCCCCTTCGTGTCCGAATCGAGTCGGTGGCGGACAAGATCGTGAAACGAGTGAGGGGATGCGATAGGCACCTCAATGTTCTCACAGAGCACAGGCCAGCATCACCGAACGAAGGTGTAGATAGTACCAAGTAGAGTCAGAGATGGAGGAGTAAACAGCTGTGACGGCGAAGTATATGCCCACCGCCACGCCGTCGCGGGCTTCGCGCAAAGATATAACCACTTCTCGTCGTAAAGGAATGTGCGATGCGTTCCGGCGTGAGCAGTAGACAACTCGTGCCTTGAGGAGGATATATCAGGAAAACTGCGAAAACAGTCGGAACGTAGCAAGCTGTGGCCCGCGACTGTCGTGTCGTATCCTGTTAAGGCCACTCAAGTGGCTAAACCTTTAACCGTATCACTTCTCGATGTCGAATCGCGGATATCCCTCTCTATCGTAGTATCGCAGTATCCCACATATGTACCTAAGTGGTTTTCCAGCACGTCAATCACGACTATTTTCTCTTCCGGGATTACATACCTAGGTAGACAGCTATGTAGGGCTTGAAAGTGCTCGCTTCCTATGTAGAATGTATGTGCAAGTATGCTGCGTACATACCGTCTCTAACATAATAACAATGCGATTGTGCGTTTGATCATACCCGCATTCCGGCTACCTACCTAGACCATGACAGCATAGGTCCTCTACTAGTAGATAACTAAGCAGTCACAGGATTCTTCCTACGGTCCAGGAATATAGATAACCAACAGGCTTGATGTACATACCACCCATGTTCCAACGCCACCATGGATGCGCATCAATTCTTCCACCAGGGCATGCGGGTGGGGTGAGGTGGGGTACGAGTGAGAAGTTGTGCGTGCATCGTGGGGGGAGGCTCCGCAAGTCTATGTTGATCTTCTCAGTGGGTTTCTGCCAACTGGCTTCATGCGAGTTCTGATTTAACATCAACTGAATATGATAGTTACCTAGATTCCCGGTTATCCCTTCCAGAAAAGATCGGATTGACGGCAGTCCTGAGAGACTCTGTATACTTCTTCGTATCAACCACTGTTCCTATGGAGTTCCACCGCTTTCGTCGGTAATAGATAAATACTATATGTAGCCCGGCTACGTACGATGCGACGATCGAACCCCACGTCTGCAGCAGGGCAGGGCGATATAGAGTATGTACCTACATAGAGTCTGTAGGATTATACGTCTCGCACGGACGGATAAGCGCCAGGGCGTAGTCAGCGGCGACGGCTGCGAGTGGACGAAGCGTGCAAGGATAACTACTAACCAACTAGGTAGTAGTTAGCGGGAGCCCGAAAGCCACCGCAGGCGGCAGGCATATTCGTCCACTCTCGATCGCATTTCGCTTCACGTCCCCCGGATCAAGCTCTCGAGTTACATAATTACGAGCTGACGGCATATATTTGTAAGCACGACTGGGAGTCTGGGACTTGCATGCGCCATGCGGCGACTGGCAATCGAGGGACATCCATTGGCCCCGAAGACTGAGACGAGTAAATGCGGGCACTGGACAGTACTAGGAGTCGCAGTGGTCGGCTTGGACGCGGTATCGTGTAATTGTCATTCTGGCAGGGAATCGTGATGATCCTGGCTCCGCAGGGCTTGTAGTTGGTTACTCCAGAAATTAAGAGTTGGTTACTTAGCACAAGATGCGGGGCAATTCAGTGCCGGGCCGCCGCACCTTGTACCACCACCACCACCACGAATAACCCTTACCCCCTGTAGAGTAGATACATCTCGCGATCTCATTGAGTGAAGACGTATGTAGGATCGAACCCTCGCCGGAAGTGCACTGAGGGATCCGCGGTGACGACGCTCGGGTGGCTTTGTGGTACATATCCATCATGTGGAAGACTGTCTACCTATCCAGTAGTTCGCCTCCACCGGGCAACCAACTGACTACCCAAAACAATGCCGTCCGGTGAGTGCAGCAACGGTACTACCGTAGGGGCTGCCGGGTGCCGCTTATGTAGCCTCTAGAAAAGCCACAGCCGATGATGATGCTACGCTGTACGTATGTACCTATGGAGGGGCATGATTCTGGCGCCTGTCACCGACAATTTTCATCCTGGTCCCCAGCAAACGTAGCCCGGCCTCGCCAACGCCGCCTACGCAGCTACGCAGTCGCTTCCAGTGCAGATATTTGCTCTCGACAAAGGGGATGGATCATGGATCTACATATCAAATCCTTTTGGTTGCATAATTTCTACTACTAGCCATGTATGGCAAAGCTGTATCTCGTATCGAACTCCAGCCGCCACATGGCGGGCGAGAGGAACTCAGAACTAGGCACCGATTGTGCTTGTTCTTATCCCTTCATTGACTACCTCCTGTCTGCTCTGTTCTCGGGAGTCGGGATTACAAGAAACTTTGGAATGGGACGCCGGATCTGGAGGTAAGAAATGATTGCCTCTAGAAAGGACAGTACAGTTGTGGTCGAGCCATGGAGGAGCTTTTGGCGGGTGGAACTGATGTAGAGTAGTAAGTACCAGGTCAAACATTTTTGTACACCTCCCCAACAGCGTCACCACACCAGACATATATTTAGCAGAGGGTATCAACACTGGTGGGCATGGCGGGGTCGACCACTGAATGAGTAGGGGGGGATGTGTTTTCTGCCACTACCGTGAGAGGACACATGTAGGATCGATGGAGGATCAGGTAAGATAACAGCAGGAGAGGCTAGTCGGATCGGTGGAACCGAATGGTTATGTCAGCCGCACTAGCCGGATCGAGTGACAACGAACGTTGTAGGCAGCGGAGGACAACCACATGAGATGGCTCTTTGAAGCTGAATACAACCTCAACTTCTTCATCATCTTTCATTTTCGCCGTCTCCCATCCAACACTACTTCACATGGGGGCTCCCTCAGAGCAGTTCTACTATCGCTGTGTCTAAGCACTTGCAATCTCACAGTTATGGGATAATGGGACCTCAAGTCACATTTACTGTTGCTCGGACGCAGGAGCAGTAACAGCTTCAACCTTCGATACTGCAGCCGCAGCTGCCGTCGTCATTATGTACATACTTCCGAAGCAGATACAGCATCCGGCGTGAGCTTTGGAGGTTGCGATGATTGCAGGACTCCCGCATGACTGTCCGTGGACTGGGCGTCTTGCGGCTCTTGCTGCGACGTTCGGATACTATGGATACTGTGGATGCGAAAAACCAACCGCTCTGCACTGTTACAATTGTGGTACCGCGAAGTCCACTCTCTGCTGCAGCTTTGCGCTCTCGTCCGGACAAACTGCTGACACAGTGTACACTCCATTATCATCAATTTCCCCCTTTCAATGGGGCCTGTCCTTGTGCCTCTCATCCGGTACTCTCCTAGCTACGCCGAAGTCAAAGCACAAAAGCATAAAGTACATGATGCTTTGTCTCCAAGGCTTTGACGGGCTTCCGGGCGTACATCAAACGAACATGGTACCCCGGGAGAACAGATTAGGGACTAGTAGTCAAAGTACTACAAGCACACGCCAGCACACAACGATGGGGGAGATAAAAAACCTGCATTCTCACCACTGTGTTGAGTTTGGTCTTCACTCTTCCAAAAGGGAGCTGGGATAGGAAACTAAAAGCGGGGCTCTTAGCTGGACGGTGGTCCCCCCTCACCGGGCAATCATTGAGGCTTTGAAGCATGATGCACATAGCTTCTGAGCCCTTCGGGAGCTACGAAATAGGAAAGCCGCCGTTTATGCGAGAACTTCAGATCTTCTCCATGAAATATCTTCGGAAAGCGAGCCATCGATGGAAGGTTAGACTCTCGCGTCTAGGACCGGAAACTACTACTCAATCGGGGCGTAAGTCTTATCCGGTCTCGGTTTCCGAGAGAACCTATCATGATACCGAGTTTTCCGGCTCAGCTCGACATCTCGTTTTCGAGCAGGCTCGCGAGCTGAAATTCCGTTGAGCTGCACACTCACGCCCGAGATCTAGAATTCGGAGCAAAGCGTACCGGGCATATCTTTCCGAATGCGGCGGAGAACCGGCCACATTGCCGTAGCCTTACCCCGAGATCTTGACGGCCCATTGGTTCGAGTTCGGGAGTCTGGGCGGCACTGCTTTTCCTGGCATTCCTCATTTGGCTGTCCGTCCCGTCGTTGGGTACGGACTGGGTGCACAGCATCGTGCAGTGTGTCCTTCGACATACCAGGGCTAGGACTAGCACTCTCGCATAGGAGAAGGGAGCTGGCCAGACAGAATCATAGTTGTGGCCAGATGTCGGAGTCATCGAGCGGCATGGGGGGCTGTTGGTCAACCAAGAGCAAAGAACCACCGGCTCGTGCCCCCCGGATCTTCATGTTTTCCAGAAAGCAGTCCTCGTATATCCAGAGATCCTTGACTGCAATATGTACCAGTCTGGACTGTGGAATGCAGTCGCGATCAGATTATGCGGGACACCGGTGTTTCATGTATGGGCACTCGCCAATGAGTTACCTACGTACCTACGGCGGTATTACGCAATTCCGTGACATCTCCGAGAAGGCTGGGTCGCTGCTCAGCTTGTCGGAGATATCCGTCCATGCGATGCATCCATGGCTGGTTACCACTCCTCGACTCGTCCTCCAGCGGCAGTCTGGAAGAGTGAAGCCCAACCAAAGTACATATCGTATATACCACGTCTGCTGCCATTCGCAATCGCCTTGCATGCAGGAAGAAGGGATAATCGTTCGTGATGTTTTGTTGGGAAAGCCCGAAGCCGTCAGAGCCGGCCATCCAACTGATTCCTTCGCCGAGAATGTGTACAGACATGCGGGGCAAAAGTACAATCCTGCAGAAGGATATCGGTCGAATTACGCTGTTGCGGACGGGGATTGAGCTGTCGACATTGGCAGCTACCGCAGCGATGGAGTTATCGGCTTCAATATAGAGCAATAGGTACTGGGGGTTTTGGGAGTTCGCTGCAATGAACGATGGCGAAGACGACGTATCACCGCCAGGTAAGTCGGGGATCACGAACGAGAGCCGCATTCTGCAGGCGGACTCTGGCCATGTTTCGGAGATTGGGGGCTGCCATCATTGGAATTCGAGAAAAACGCAGGGTGTTCAAGTTGGGGTGCAGGGGGTGTTAACTAGGGCGCAGGGGACCTTTTCGTTGGCAGCCAACCCTATACTATTAACCAGGTACTCACTTATAGCACTCTACAGCGAACTCAGCCTCCGAGCCCCGTCGATCCTTTAAATAGGAAGCCCTTAGCTAGGCTAACTATCTATCTACACATCTCATAGGCTGCCAACTTCTCGTGTGTTAGCATTCGGGCCTGGAGATTGGTCTCGACGGACGGGCGGAGTATGCGGGGGTGATTGGCAGTCGATCTTGATCCAATAGTGCCCCCCGTCAGTCCTAGAAGCACATCGTTCCTCCAACGCCATCGGCAAATCATCGCATGAACTGACTACTGCACAGACGAGTCACCATCAGACGCAGACCTCGAAGGAGCCGCCGATTCGCAATCGCGGACGACTTCAATTATGCGCCTCCGCCTGCAGACCTCTCGCATATCCTGCAGGAAGGAATGCCTTCGCGTGCACTCTCTTCTGAAGAAAAGAAAAAAAAGCCTCCATCGCGGAGCGCATCAGCTAGCATGGAGTCCTAGAGGGGAGCTGTAGCTGTAGATCGACTTACGCGAATGGGAGGGAACGAGGGAATGTGTGAGAGAGGAAAACTATGGGAGACCATCCAACACGTTGCGAATCCCGACCTCGAACCACAGAACTGCTGCACCGATGCCCCGCTTCTTCGTCCGTCTCCCTCCCCCGCGAACTAATCCGTCCAACTTCTAGCTTCGCGGTGAGGCCACAGAGGTGGAAGCTATGCTCCCTCGACTGGCTTCTAGGAACCACGAAAATCTCTGGCGAGGCTCGCTGTGGATGAGAATCTATTATATCAAGCCGGCTTCCCTTCCCCCAACATTCCCTCCTCATTCTCTCTACTCCTCACAGACACCAACAGTCCTCATCTTCCAGTCAGTTTCCCCCACATTCCAATCGGTTCTTCAATTTTCCGTCAGTTCCCTCCAACTTTCCCAATCAACCCGACAAAATGGCGACCGAAGTCTTCAAAACCTATCACGAGCATTTCGATTATGCGGAAGCCGACCCAGACCCAAAGTATGAAGTTTTCAACTGGGTAAAGTGGGTTGAGGACCATATCGCGTTGAAGCAGATCACAATCGCTGCACTGGACCCAACTATCTATGCTACGAAAGTCCAGGCCACATTCGATGCCCTGATTTTGGCGGAATGTCCTCCGGAAGCAGCGAAAGACTTGGCTCTCCTTGCTCTATACGACCTGGTGGTGTTGCTGGGTAAGAAAACCATCATAGTTCACATCTACGGCCAGATCCGAGACTCGAAAAGATTAACCTTCCCATAGATGACAGTACTTCGATGGACTACGACGACATCCCAGAAGGCCAAACGGGCGGCGGCGGCAATGGACCCCGTATAGCAACACTCAAGAAGGTCATGAAGGCGGTCGGCGAGGTGTACACCCATGCAAACGTAGACGGAGTCAACCAGGTAAAGTTCCTGAACGTGGCAAAAGGCAAACTCAACGTCACCGGGGACAAGACGGGGTTCCTGGATACTCACAAGTGGGGAGGAGTGACGCGCATCGGATCCGAGCTCAAAAGAAAGATTCTGGACCCGCGGGTATACAGCAAGACCGCGGATGTACCGATGACTAAACCACTGCTCGTGGTTGTCATCACGGATGGAACGGTTCGTAAACACTGTTGCTTCCAACGCTCATCTTTTTCACACTTTCTGACTGGACGACACATATAGGTTGAGGGCGAACAGAAGGGTTTATTGGAGCACACCATCATTAGTTGTGTCGCAGCCTGCCAGGGTGATACTGCTAAGGGCAGGGGCGGTAAGACTGCATTCCATTGCTATCTTACGGCACTGCAGAGGCTGATTCATTTGTAACCAGCTGTCGCATTTCAATTTGCGCAGGTAGGGACAAACGTGGAGGCGGCAAAGTTTCTCCGCCGGCTCGGTACCGACCCAAAGACGAAGGATTACTGCGATTGTTTGTTAGGTATTTTGGAAACGAATGCACCTCGGCAATAGGCAAGCAGTATGGCTGATGGTACCACAGAATCAACGCTAGATGCAATCACAGACGATACTCTGAAGTGGGAAATCGTAAGTTGAAACACGCCGCCTCTTGCTCCCACGCAGCTCCTCTGGTATTGACGGTTTGGATAGGTGCCGCAATTACTTCTAGGCGCGATCAGGGATCAGGTACGTGGTTTCCTCGAAGACGCGCTCGATTCCATGAGTATCCGTGAGCTAATCCTCAAACAGTGGAGGAACCATTACGTACCGCTTCGGATTAAAGGCGAGGCTCTAACTATTGACCACGAGAGGGATCTTCCTGAATATGGCGAGTTTGATACTGAGGAAGCTGATGATGAAGCTTGAGTGGCGGAAGTGGATTGGGTATTAGCGTCAGGTTCTGCGGTTAGGTGTGCTGGGTTATGCTGGGGTCCGATGAATGGAACGTGTTTTTTGTTCATCTTGTGCCGACAGCAATGTGAAGACCGTAACATGACTTCCCTGCCCCCAAAGCTGCTGGTGCCCCACTCACCAGGCCTTCCTTTACCCAACGATGTGGAGTCACAGCTCTACTGATGCTCCTCTGACGTACGTATCGGACGAACTTGACGGGAGGGAAAAAGATGAAATCACTTTCAGCAGCCCTTCAACCTTGCATATTTCAACTTAGAATAATCCAACGAAGGCAAAGCCAATTATTCCATGTAGTACAGAATAGTACTACTTAATACCTCACGATGAGGGTCGGCAATCCCCAGCGCCCGCTTATTCACTATTTAAAGTCCCTAGAGTAACTCTCAGATGAGAGACCGTGATGATCTTTTCTCCAGCTCGGTTGAATATCAAGGTGAATGTCAGGATAACTACCTACTTCAGGTATGCTACAAAGCCGCATACGCATAGAACTTGTAGAATCAGGCCTGGTAATAGTCCGTCCGGACGGAAGACTATTGGGGCCCGGCGGCGCCGTCCCGTCTGGGGCGAGGATTTGGCCGGACGAGTCGGGGTCCGTCCCAGGTCCAAAAAGCCTGAGGCCCGAGGGGGGCCCCATGGGGCTCGGAAATTTTTAGTGTGGAAGTGGCTGGCTACTAGTGTACGGTGCCGGCTGTCCGGAATATTTTGGCGGATGAAATTTTTTGCATCCGATCGCACAAGGGATTGAGTAGCGAGCAACGGACATGCACATAGGAGGTCCCCAAACCTTGCTGGGTGACGTGGCCGGCTAGGTGATTAGGTGTTTCTATCGGTTTAGCGATCATTCAGGTTTCCCGGCACCGCTACTGCCTCCAGCTCAGAAAAAGTCGTCTGGGTGACTTCAGGAACTCTAGCTCGCCTCTAGCTCGCCTTTAGTTCCCCTTTAGTTCGCCGTAATTAGTAGGTAGGTTGTGAGTAGTTTCTGGGATTAAGAACTAGATTGTATCTACAAGAAAATTTGTGCTCGAGTTGCTCGACTCCAACATCCGCGCTCAAACTCCATTTTCGAACCCGATGATGGCGAAGAGGATGTACAACTCAGCAAGCGACGGAGTGTTGCACCCAGAAAGCTGGCGACATACTTCATACACATGGGAATACATTAGTATGGGTACGGATATCATTGTCCTTAGACTATTGGCAGTTACTCAAGAAGCATTGCAAGAGTCAATCAACTCGCACAGTTGGAGTCATTAAAGTAATGACTCTAGTCACTGAGCAGGATTGACTCCAGTCAGCCGGCAGGAGGACTGGGTGGTGTAGAAAGGGCTGAGAAGTCAGGGATGTACCCTGGATGCACTCGGAGCTACTCACCTGGCCAGCCAGCCCCGCAGGGCAAGGTCCTCAAACCCGAATTTCATGGCTGGACATCGTTATTGGTCAATCTGTCTCGATGGGTTTCCGGCCGGCCAGATCACCCGGCAAGGTTTGAGGACCTCTAGTGTAAGATCTGCCGGCAGAGGTGTCTCCTTGGCCGTCTACTTCCTACAGTCGTCTATTCCTCGCCGTGCTGCCAACTCCTTAGCGTCATTCCTGCCTGCTGCGCCACTGCGCCATTGCCCAAGGCTAGTACTAGCGCCATATTTCCGGGCCCGAATGGGGCCCCAGTCATCCTCCGGCTTGCCCGGAGCCCTGTAGTCCTTGATATCCCGGGCCCGACAAATTCCGTCTCGTCCGGGGCATAACCAAGGACGGACAGGACGGACGATTCCCAGGCCTGTGTAGAATATGTACTGTAGGCAACCTGGCTGAATCTTTAGACGCAGAATTCGAAAATCTCATTTCGAAATACACTGGTTTCGCGTTAAGAAGATCATGTAACCCCATAAACAATGTTTAGCCATCATAGCAACCTCCCCCCCCCCCTCCCCCCCACCCGGCGTCCCCCTGTTCGTTTAATCATACATTAAAACACAAGCGCACAGAAGCTTAAACCACCTCCTTTTCCTAAGGTGCCGGTCCATTGTTGGCTGCCAAGGTGTTCGCCCCCACTAACACCGAATGTTCCAAGCAAACGTTTATCACTAACGACTCGTTTGCGCGGACGCTCAGCACCTCCGCCGCGCTTCCCACGGCCGCGCGTGTACCAGCGGCAGCCGCCGCACTTCCGCTGTGTGGTTTTCGGTGCTGGCTGAGTACTGGTTGCCTCGGTGGTAGCGTACTTGCTGTGCTTTGGTTTCGACTTCTAGCCTCCGACTGCTTAATCGCCTCCTGCCTTGCTAACTCCGCTTTTATAAATTCCTCTTCCTTTTGCTCATCAGTCTGAGCCCTGGTCGCTCTCTCCTCATCTTCCTTTTCTCGGAGCATCTTAGCTCGGTCTTTGGGCCGTTTGAATCCTTTACCCGTGCAAATGGCTATGACGTAGTCTTTAAGCGCCGTCGTTTTGTACTTCTTGTGCAAGTATACGAGGAGCGTTATGATGAGGATGACGATGGTAATAGGAGCCACGACGATCCAAAACTTGGTCTCTGTATCGATTTTGCCCTGCGCATAGGGTAGGGCAAAATACTGAACAAAACAGTTAGCATCCAAACGTGATAATGCGATGTGCCGCAATTGGCATGGATCTCCGCCCCTGGGCCCTCCTCGTACCTGTGTGAAAAAAGCCAGCGGCAAGAATATGATCGTCACCACGGTGAACAGCGACATGGTATTCCCCTGAAGCGCTATATCCTCCCGCATCTTCCTAGCATTATCCTCGGCCGCCTGTCTCGCTTCACGTGCGAGTTTTGCTTCGTATTGGTGCCGCGCCTGCTGGCGCTTGGCTTCCCGCGCTTCGTCCTCGCTGATTTCGATCAAGCTCTCCAGAAGGGCTTTCATGTCCACCGCCGTGGCCTCGGACGGGCCTTCGCCAGCCATTTCTACCAGCTTCTCCGTGCAACCTAGGATTTCCTTCTGTAACCCCTCTTGCCGAAGGCTGCCTGCATAAATCTTTTTCAACTCTTGCAGCTGTTCGCCGTCCGAGCTCGATCCGGTGCCGGTGGTACTGCCACTCAGGCTTTGCAGCCTCATTGCCTCCAGCTGCGCCGTTGCTGCCGCCGATGCCGATGCCGATGCTGCTGTCGGTTCCGGGCGGCTTTGAGTGACGCTCGCGACGAGTTGTATAACCTGATTGGGTAGTCAGAAGACAATTCACCATCCCCTCCTTGCCGGCAGAGGGCCCCCGGTTCAGCCGGGAAACTTACATTCTCGTAGGATGTTCTCAGCTGTTTCAGCACGACACCTAGTTCTTTCCGCACCTCCAGCCGTGCTTCTTTCGTCACCTCGAGAAATTTTATGGTAGTCTTGAGCTGCTCCTGCTGCTGTGAGACGACGGGAATCTGTTCCCCCGAGATCGCGCTCCGTAGCTTGTTCACGAGGTCGCGCAGGAGGCTGATCTGCTTGTCCCACACACTGACGGCCATGGCGAGACACATCAGGTGGTTCGAGATCTCTTCGAGTGCCGCTCGCTTCGCGTCGTCAATGCTATCGGGGGAGTTTTCTGAGGTCCCGAGGCCAAACTCGGTGCTGAGGGCTTGGAGATAGAGGAACTAAAGAATACCGACATCCGTCAGTCCGAGTTATACCCCCGACCCCGACCCCATACCCCCCATTACTTTTAAGCACACTGAGACTTGACTTACGCTTCTATTGGACTTCGCACGATATTCATTCAGAAGTGGTTTGTCGGAAAGGATGACACTGGCAAGCATGTGTGCAACGTGATGGAACGCGCCAGTTGTCAGTCCCGGGCGTTCCAGGCGGAGGTTTTGGGTGGTGCATTCTCTGGAGGTGAATTTCGCTATAGTGGCTGTTTTTTTATATCATTTAGTGAGTGATACACACTTCCACCCATATCGGAAACTCGTAACTCGGAGGAGGGGGCAAACTGTTATTCAGGATGAAGAACAAGGCCTGGTGAACACCTTCTCCTCTCCGACCCCCGAGAGTCGGACCGGCGAGCGCGCCGTCAAATTCCGTCAACCGAACACTTTCGTCGAAAGCGAAGAGATTCCCGCCCAGAAAAGGCAGCCAGATAAAAAAGGCAGATGTTTCCGCCGTTTTCATGGTTACCGGCCCGAAGCTTCCGCGGATCCGAATGCCCGACGTATTGACTGCCACGCTCTCCGCCAGCAACTGCGAAACATCGGGGAACTCCTCGCGTCCCTCCAGAACCGAGAGGAATTTCTAAAACACTGTGGTTGGCATTGAACTGTAGATATTTCTTGGCAGTAACAGTAGTAATAGGTACCTTGGCGGGTGCACACTCCGCGTATTCTCTGCGCAAAGAGCACGGTTAGTGACGATCTCGGAATTAGGTAGTGGCCTGTAACATCGCATACAGTATCTGAATGGGCCTCCCCTCGTCGGGGAAGAGCGTCATATCGGCCTCCAGCTGTCTGAATACTGTGTCCAAAGTGAATTCAGTCGGTTGGAAGTTTGCGGCATCCTGCAGTCCCGTTCCCTCTCGTAGATACGATTGTCGTCTCTGGGGTCCCTTCACCAACTTGTCGTCCTCATCACCGTCGTCATCGTCGTCATCGTCATCGTCGTCTTCGTCGTCGTCGTAGTGAACAGGCTCTAACTCTTCATCCCTGGAATAAACGGGGTAGCTGTACGACAGGACATGCCCCTGGGCTGCCCACTGCGGTTCGGTAGGTCTGAAGATGCCATAGTTCTCGTCGTGTCGAAAGAGTCGCCTACGGAATGCCATGGAGGTTGTTTTCGCTGCGCGGTGATGTTGAAAGACGCGGAAAGAAAGTACGCCACTCAAGAAAAGGCTGTGGGGCTCTTTACGTATTTATGGGGGGTTTACTTTTTTTTTCCTTCGCGTTTTTCTTTTCTTTTCCCCAGCCTTCCCGTCAGGCGTGCCGGCGGGCGCGGACGAATTATCTAGAAGCACATGAATTAAAAGAGCAAGAGAAGTGGCATCTCCCGCATCCGTGTGGGCCTGTTAGCTGCGGGCCCGCCGCCCGCCCGTGCAGTCACTCCGTGAGGCGGACCGTGTGGCAGTGCTTGCATTTTGATCATCGGCATTCCTCGAGTCCCCAGAGTAGCAAAAGATCCCGACGGAACTTGGACGGGTGGTTGGCCGAGAACCACCTCCTTTCGTTCTCCACGCGCACCATTCGTTCCCCACGCGCACCATGGCTAAAGCAGCATTCGAAATCAAAAACCACGTCTGGTCGGAGGAGAATGAACACGACTGGCTATGAGAAGGGTAGGGCGGAGCGGAGGCTGGAGGGGAGCGGCTAGGCAGGGCAGTATGTGGTGGTGATGTATCGCACCCTATACTATAATAGAGTACGTCCACCCTAGATACGCAGTTTACTTAACAAGACGTACCTATCTAGCCCGTCGATAAATTCCGCATGCGAGATCCAACGCATCACATCTTGCGGTGTGGAGAAGAAAAGAAAAGGCGTAGTTAGAGGGCTAATTCGGAAGTCGCCGGCCGACTGTGCTGGCATCCGGGTCGCATATCGGAGCTGAGCTGAAACCTGCATGCAGCAGTGAGTCCACCAATGGGCAAATTTGGCATGAAGTTCTGTCCATGCAATCCAGTTGTTTTGACGACACGGGGGTGAGGATTTCGACCTATAATGTAAGTAGAATATCTAGAGTAGGGTGAGAAAAACACTGTTTCCACAGGTATCTCGGAATCTGTCCTGGCACTGATGTTTTTCACCCCCCGACAACCCGCGATTGAGGGGTGTGGTCAGATTGTCTCGGAGATAGTCATCTGAGACATGTCAATGGAACTGGGCGAATCACTAGAAAGTGACTCGACATCCATGTTATTAACAATTGCGAGCCAACTCCGGATGGGGGAAGGGCTCCAGATATCAAGCATACCATACCAGTGCACAATAGATAGTATTCGTCATCGGATAACCCATGAGTGTAGATAAGTGAGTGGGGTACATACGGAATGGTGTTGAGGTCAAGACAACTATGTAGGTATACTCCTACCAGTATTTGGCCGAGGAATCGACGAAGCCGTGGTTGACAACCTGTGTGTAAATATTTGGAATATAGGATTAAGCGAACGGTGGTCGATAACTGAAGTTCACCTAGGTAGGTAGGCTTACCTTGCACGCAGGGATAATCGCTCGCTCGAGTCGTGGATAGGTTCGGACATCAACTTCAAGATGGCTCGATGATTATTCCTGGATTGACAGGTTGTCGTGAACTTGGCTCCGCCTTGAAAACACCATCGATGCACTCGAACGTGGAACCCATTCAGTATGTCCACCTAGGTGCTAGAATACTCGTACACACAAGATCACGATTTTAAGCAAATGGGAGCTAAATCTCGGACCCCACCCCCCCCCCCCCCATACTACCTACATATGTAGGTATTGGATAATCTTGCCGACACGGGCGGCCATAGCATTTCTCGGCCGTCGCTGTGGCGGTGGGGCCCGCAATACGGCATTCCTGCGGAATCATCTCCACTACCTACATATGTAGAACATAAGGAGGTGTTTTTCGTACCCGGGCCGCTGAACGAGGACTGTTGAAAGAGATGCCAAAAGCCTCCGTAGCCTCGCCCGATTGACCACATTATTCACAGTGTTCATTGTTGCAGAAAACGGATATACATACCCCAAGGAGACAACCCATCGTTTGTGCCTTGAGAAGGCTGGCGGCCCGAGGCCGGGCGTCGGCCATCACCGCACAGCCAGCAGGCTGCAGGTCAGCAACCTCGCCCCAATTAGCAACATTCCGCCGAATAACGCCACGGCAAATCTTTTTCGGCGTGTTTTGTGGCTGGCGGTTTCTGTTGGCAGTAGACAACACATCAATTGCGGTTCGACGCGTGAGCACGTGATTGTAACCCGCCGACGCGACCTCTTGCGCGTGTCAAATTAAGCTAACTATCGACACGTGCTTAGGTGGCCGCGTTGAAACTCACCAACCTTGAGGCTCAAGCTTCCATTCTAGTACGTTCTATAACTCTGGGGGATCTCATATGGCCAAGCACTAAAGAAATCGTTCCACCCCGCCTTGAGCCTCCTTCGCCAAATGTCCACCGCGGTATCGTGAAACATAAATATCACTCGTCGTGCATTTTTCACGCCGTTTCTTGTTCACATGCTTTTTAGTTAGCACTGCGGACTCTTCATATATATTGTGGTAGCCAGCTTCCCGGCTGAGCAAGAGGAACTTCTCAACGCGTTCATTAATGAAATTACCGTGCGCGCCGGATGTTCTTTCAGTTCTCCCGACCAGTATCAACCTCACTTCTCTCTTCGAAGTCCTAGAGCCGGTCCTCCATCTCCTCGGTCCCATCAATTTATTGTCGCATACAGCCCATCTAGACCAGGTATGGTGACCATTGTATCGCGATCGAGCTTCCGGCAGAAGCAGACGATTTTCAATTCGTCCGTTAAATAATGAGGTACCCAGGTAGAAGAAGATACCTAATGCATTCGGTACTCTCTCCATATACAAGCTTCATGAGCTAGAGTATCTAGGCATCTATCCCTTCGAAAGGTAGGTATCCCGCGCTCGGACACCCACTACGGACGCCGTCATCTCCAGACGTCCGATATTCTGACATCGCAGAATCAGTTTTCGTGATTCGGGGCCAACTGGCATCCCATGCTTCCCCGCTGCCAGCCGTCAGACCGTAGCCATCAGATATAGTATGCGCACATTTCACATAGAATTTCACCTTCGGAATTGCACTCGCACTCCGGACCGCGATTACCGTGAACTATCAACTCAACCACTACTAGTTATACAAAAAAATCCCAAAAAACCTCCCGGCCTCTCCCGCACACGGACCCGCACCGTACGCGCATCCACCACTTTAGTAAAACTCAACCGAATCGTAGATGAAGTTGGGGTTCAGGAAAGTCGTGCCAGTGCTGCCGCTGGCACAACTGATAGCGATGCTGTTCGATCCGGCGACCAAGTTGCCCGCAGGGATGGTGAAGCTGTAGACCTCGCCGTAGCCACGATACGCTCCTCTCGTGAAGCCACGGGAGTCGATCTTTGTTGGTGCCGCTGGGGTGGCGGGGGAGTAGCTGTTGACCTTGATGCTGGGGCGGCCGCCGGCAAAGGAGAGGGTGGTGTAGATTCTGACGGTGCGGGCGACCGCGGCTTGCGCGCTCGTGAGCGTAACCGAGATGGTGGTCGGGTCGTTAACGGTCTTGACCTGCGCCATGGGGAAGTCGGCGGTCGACGAGGTGCCCCACGTGAAGGTAGAGGCAGCCCATGCGGACATGCGCGAGTCGGAGGGGTGCATGACGAGCTGGTTCGCGGCGTTCATGAAGCCGGTGGGCTTTCCGTCGACCGTGCCGATGCGGAAGATCACGCTCGAGGGAATGTCCTGCGCGGAGGCAAGGCTCTTGCTCGTGCTGCCTCCGGCGGTGACGGTGACGGACGACTCGGCGACCTTGAGCTCGCCCTTGTACAGCACCATGGTGTAGGTTCCGGGCTTCATCAGGGGGGAAGTGAACGAGCCGTCGGACTTGACCCAGTACTGGGCGGCGCTGTTGTACCAGTGAACGACACCGTCGGTGACACCGGAGACGGTGCCGGTGACTGTTCCGCGGCCGGAAGTGGCGACGTAGCCGCTCAGAGACAGGGAAGAGTAGAAGTCGAAGCTGGGGAGGGTGGCGGTGTTGCCGTTGTTGAAGATCAGAGCGTACGGACCGTGGAAGCCCATGCGGTAGGACTCGGTCTGGACGTGACCGGAATTCATATAGAAGTAGATCTCCTGCTGGGCGGAGCCTTGGTTGTCTATGTCGCGGAAGAACGGTCCTCCGGAAGACGACTCGTAGTTGCCGATAGCCATGCAAGCGCCGATTCCGCTGCCCTTGACACAGTGCACGGAGTCCTCGATGAAACGGACGCTGGAGTAGAACTTGCTGCGGGTTTGTCCGTCAACCAGGAAGACGTCCGAGCCCTCCACCACGGTACCGTCCTCGACGTCAGAAGCGGTGACTCCGGTGGTGATGACCGACTTCTTCAGTCTGGCGATGAAACGGAGTTCACCGATGGTGGGCTCGGCAGTGATGTACGTGCCCATGTAGACGGTGGGATCACCGCTCTGTCGACAATGTCAGAAGAGAAGACTCAATGCGCGGCGGACAAAAACGGAAGGCTTACCTTGGCGATGTAATACTGCGTCAAGGTACTCGTCACGACGGTGATCTTGATGTAGGTGCTGCTGATTGTGGTTGCGGAGACGGTAGCACTTCCTAGTCCGGAGGCGATATGCGACATCTTGGAGCTATCCTGAGCTTCGGTGCCACTGTAGACGAGCGAGACGATATCTCCGTTCGTCTGGCTGACGGAGAAGACGAGACCACCATTGGTGTCGACGACGAAGCGGCCGTTCGTCGAGGTGACACCGAATGCGGCGAATGAGGTGCCAGCCAGGCAGGCCAGCGAGAAGAGAACGGATGAGATGCGCATGATGAATGAATGATTCGGCCCGGCGAACACTGAACGATCGAAACGAAAGGGTACCAAAGAAGGGATGAAGCAACGACTGTGCTTCCGACGGTTGACGGCTGTGTGTGTCAAAACGTGGAGTACAGTGAGGGTATCTCCATTATATATACTCCGTCGACGGGTTACAGGACACCCGGTTCCTGTCGACGGCTCGCCTTAGTGGGTAAGCGACTGTGTAGTGCTGCCCCAGATAGATTGAGTGGGACAGTTATTCGGGGTTTCCCATGTTTGTGCTGCACATAAAACGGCGCTGTAGCCCATATTCCGCGATTGCGGGGTACATTAGGCAGAAACCCAACCCGGCGGTAGGGGTGGACAGTCCGCAGTGCCTACACCGTATTGACAGTATGTAGGACCGCCAGGCATATATTCCTCCGAAGTTTCCGAAGCTTCCGAAGCCTCCTACGGTAAGGCTGGAGGGTCAAGGCACGCGGATAATGTCTGCAACGCGCCGGGCGCTGACAGTAATTCAGTACCCCCGAGCGAGAAGAACCATAGCCTGCCGGGGTAGAATATTAACCTCGAATGTACTGGTGACACGCGGCACCGGCGTTCCGTCCTATGCTCAGGACTCTAGTTTTTTTCGGGAGTAACTACGCCGAAAATAGTGCTGCGGTCCTGACAGTAACCTAGGGGCTAGCTACCGGGAGCGTTGTGCATCATCCGATGAGAATGACTTCCTGCCGCGCGGATTCATCAGCATCATTCACACTAGATTTCGCAGTGCTATATGCGAAGCGTGCCAGGAGGTAATTATCATGAGCCATCCCAACCGAAACCCGAAGGAAATTATGCGGGGTGCATGCCCTACAGCGCCATTTTGTGGCGCAATGTGGTGGCGGCTGTGACAACTGTCCGGCTATTTGCCCCCTACCACGACCTCCACGTGGCTTATCTATGGCTACCAGATCCCCCGCCGGAGAAGAAGAAACCCCCATCAATCTATGGTTCGAAGGTCTCCTTTCTCCTACGCCAGATCTCGCTGGCTTTGGGTCCGTGAGGCTCACGCCATTGCCGGCTACTCGATGAAGCTGGCCTCCGAGGACAGTTCGTTTTGGCTTCTCTTTCTGAACAATAATGCAGATACCGTGAGCACGGGCAGCAAGAATAATCAATTCGCCAGCTTCCGCATAAACAGTCGAAGTCCGGGCTGACGGCACTTTCAACCGGATCGACGTCCAAGTACGCTCTTTATTACACCGATGTTCGAGGTCAGGCTTGGCCACTATGTAACCCCGCGCTAGGATTGACAGCAGTCCTACAGCTTATCCTACGGAGCTATTTGGGCGATGCCCGAAGGAAAATGCTGCGTACTGAACACAATGCAGATTATCTTTCCTGGACCCAAGCAGGTATTGCCAGCGACACGTGCAACTAAGTACCGATGGCATCGCCAAGATGGTTCGCAAATCGCGCAGCACTCGCCTCCTGCCTAGTACCTACATACGCACTTTCGCGGTGTCTAGGCTGTCAGGACAAACCCAATAGCGAATGCGGGGAACCACCTAGGCTTTCCGTAGGCTTTCTTTGATGGCTTCTTTACCCGTAACACACATACCTCCCTTCCCCCTGGGGAATTTAAACAGGCAACATCTCCTGGCCTCGGTTTTCTTCGAGCGAGTCCGTGACCACAACTCGGAAGTGTCCCAGCCCGAGGCGGCTTGAGATTACGGGGAGCCGCTTGAAGCCTCCTTTCTCCTGTAAAATTCTCCTTGCATGATTTGTATGAGGGTTATGTGATTGCTTTACCATAAAGTTTTACCCGTCATGTATAGTATTTTTTTAGTGCGCTCTCTAATTTTGGTTCTCGTACAAGCATAAGGGGAAGGCAAAGGAAACGCACATCAAATTACCTACGGACTACAAGAGGTGGGGAAGGGACGTCCAGACGGGAGGAAGTGTATTTGTACGTAACTGCCATGATTTACATAAGGTTGGATTCATTGATGAATCATGATTGACAAAAAACACTTCCCTCAAAATTCAATCTCTATATCATCCACGTACGCCTCGCCAACTGGTTGATCGAAAAACTGCACCCCATTCATATCGACATAATCCCAGGTGAACGCCACCGTAACATCGCTCACCTCCACCAAATCAAGCGTGATCGTCGTAGAGTACACCCTTCCCTTCGGTGGTACCACTGTCGAGCTGCGTTCGCTCACGCCATCACTCGTTGACGCGACCATGACCAAGGAGGCGGAGGTGTTTGCACGGCGGTAGACAACGCCCGGCAACTCCGTCGTCAGGTGGAATCCCTGAATATCGAAAGTCCCCGCGGTGGCGAGGGCAAACGTGATGCTGTTCGTGTCGGCGGAGAGACATATCGGAGACGAAGAACATTTTCCCCATGGACCGCCGCCCCCCGAGTGCGCGTGACAGCCAACATCGGTGGTGACGTTCACGTATTTCGCGTCTGTTATGAGGAGGCCCTGGTAGGGCGATGGTAGGGTGATGAGGCTGCCGCAGGTACTAGAGAGGTCGTCGAACTGCAGTGAACTGGTCAGCTGCGAAGAGTAACGGGTGCAGGCGGTAGATTACGTTCACGACTGTGCCGGACACTGCGGTGGCGAGTGTGGCGAGGAGGACTGCTAGGTTGCGCATCGTGTCTGAAGATGGGACTAATAGTATTATCGAGCGTGTAAAACAGTGTCCCCGGCGAATCTAAGTTCTCCGATCAGCTTCAGCATCGCCTTTATATCCCATTTCCTTCCGGACCACGCGTTCGAGTAACCCTCTCGCTATTTAGGTAGCAACATGGTATTTCTCGGGGATTCCCTCTCCAGGCACAGGCACACTTGCGGAACACCCGGATCGCGATAGTGAGCAGGCCTGTAGCGCGTATCGACCGAGGCTGCAAGGAAGGTTTATAGTGCTGTGGTACCTGCAGGCTGCAGTGCTGGCGCTTCGGGGAAGCCGAGGGACAACGCCAAGGGCGGGGTTTACATGCGCAGCGACTCTTGGTGCCGGTGAGTCGGCCGGCCAGCGGTCGATGTGAAAATGCGCATGTTCACGAAAGTCAGTCCGTAAGGCGAACACGGTAACATGAACTTCCTAGGTTAACAATCAACTCGAGTGAAGGATATCAGGGGAGATGCTTGCGAGTGAAAACAGTAATAAGGGAGAATACGCCCTCTGCAGCATCTGCTTCGCATGGCTTGAAGGGGAATCGGCTATCAAAGCGCCGGGCTTCGAAGGCCGGGCATTGGGTGGTGCACCGGGGCGTTGAGCGTTCCACTGACCATGAGTTCACAGCTCTACGGTTGATTCAATCTCCAACTTCCATCAAGGGGCACAGCCTCTTTTGTATCGTATACGTTGTCGCCATGGAATCATAACCTCACGCTCATTATATGATTCGTAGATGATACTTTACCGGCTTCGTACTAAAGTGCACATCAATCCATGAACAGTCACTCGTTATCGAAGTTTGCGTGCCAGATCTTATTGGTTGATCGGCTTGATCAGCACACCCGCGTCACGCGTGCGCACCGGAAGAGAACACCGCGTTCGGAAGGTCGACCTTACGCGGGGCGCGATATATTCCGACGTTAACCCAGAAGTATTCTCCCTTGACTCGGAAGCTGCTGCCTGGAATACTATCGATGTCGACTTTGGAGTTCAGCATTTGGCCCTGCATGCTGCCGGAGAGGTTTCCATGGATCTTATACCCGTACACCAAGCCTTGCGCAGTGCGCACTTTGGATGTAGCCACCCGTACGCACGTCCGCATGGATGCTGCCGTCCATCTACATAGAAGGCGTAGGGGAGCTTCTAACTCGGGCAGTCATGGTTGTCTTTCAATCGCCTCATGGAACCTCACCAGTAATCGTAGTTACCGATGGCAGAGATGCTGTGAAGCGCGAAAGATATGACGATTGAAGAGGCAAAAAAGTGTGAGAAGATACTTTGTATGGAGCAGCATAAATCCCGGAAGTTCGGCAGGCGAACGGGATATCCCGCCAGTCACGGTCGAGGCGAAATTGATAAGATTGGCATATTCCCGGCAGAAATATCTCGCTTGTTCAAGATGGCGTGTATCAACACCCCACTCCGTTAGACGAACGCGGGAGATGAGACTAGTTCTTCACAGAGGACGTTTATCAGTTCGTCCACTGAAGGCTCCGTCATTCGATTAGACACTCCAGCTACATCCACCTGTCGTATAGAATCCGATAATATGCGAACCCAACTACGAGATCGGGGACTTCGCGTACGCATTCACTGTCCGCTCGGTAGTGCTCAGTGCTGGTGTCTTTCGGCCCACCGAACTTCGCATTCGGCGATCGTTCGTGGATACGACGTCACCCATGGTTATCTATCGATACGAAATCGCAAAAATCTAGAAGAGAACATGGTGCAAAACACAGAAAGGCGAGATTCTGTTGCGGGGCCACTAGGGAGCTGCGATACGAGTATAACATAAAACGGTTTCGGCCTGTGGGCATATCTCAGCCATTGGACGCCGGTGCGAGTGAATAGCGATGACGTTGACCTCCATCAATCACCCGCTAGCTCCCCAAATACAAAAATTCGCTGGTAAATACTCAACTCTATACTTGCACGCACTTCACATTCAGTTGCTCGCCTCCGCCGTCTTCGCCACCTCTTTAGTAGCCGCGACCTTCGCCTCCTTCACCTTCCTCTCTTTTCTCTCACTGAACCGATCACCCATGCCCTCACTCAAAGGCCTGAACGCGAGAGTGAACCTGAACAACTCCTCCATGACATCCACAAGTCTATCCCTGTTACCACTCGGCATGAGGCGATTTCCACCCTCCTCGGGCGCGTCCTCAGCCGTGAACTGCGTCCACGCCATCGGCAAAGAGCTCTGATTCGGGACCGTCCACATCCTCATCCACCGTCCGAGGACTCTGAGCGAGTTGACCGTGTTGAAACTCTGCGACCCGCCGGAAACCTGTACGAGTCCCAACGTTCTCCCTTGAGTCGGCCTTACACTCCCGGTGAGCAGCGGTATCCAATCTATCTGGTTCTTGAATACGGCAGTGAGATTGCCGTGCTGCTCGGGGGAAACCCAGACGTGACCGTCTGACCAGGCGGAGAGCGCGCGGAGCTCTTGCACCTTTGGATGAGAGTGCTGCTCGTCGTCTTTTACGGGGAGGCCGGTAGGATCGAAGACACGGACGTCGGCGCCGAGGCGGTGGAGGATCCGGGAGGCCTCGAAGGCCATCAGACGGGAGAAAGAGCGCTTGCGCAGGGAGCCGTAAAGGATCATGAATCTGAGGCGCTTGTGGGTGGTAGTTGCAGCCAGGGAGGAGACGGAATCAAGCTCGAGCTGAGAGACCCAATCGGTGTTGCGGAGTTCGTGGGGGAGAAGAAACGGACGGTAGATGGCGTCGATGGCGGGGTCGTCGTATGGATCGAGGTCTGGGGTGGTGGACTCGGGGGTGATCATGACGGAGGAGGCGGAGGAGCTCATGGTTCGTATCGCGTCCGGACGGCTGGAGAGAATAGGAGTGAGTGCACGGAAGGAGGAACGAGCAAACATTTGGAGAACAAGTAAATATCGACCTCGTACCTTTGCTGCCAGGGTTGTTATATCAGTGCTGTAGGCGTGTCACTGCTGCGATATGATTGGCCGGCCGGCATGGTTCGGAGCTAGTAGAGATTTTCCGCCCGCCGCCAACAGGGTCTGCCATCCTTGCCACCCGGATTTTCCCACGTTTGGTGCCCCCGACTCCACCGTGGATACGCTACGGTTGGCCAGTTTCCGAGGTGGTGGAGATCCGGGTTGAACTCCGGCGCGGGCGAACAACGATCGGCGCACGCCGCCATCGGCCCGAATGCGAGTGACGGCCCGAGGCTGTCCTTCACGGCAATGTTCAACCCGCCCATATATGCTTATCCCTCTCATTCACTACCATATTCTCCCACTCTCCAACTATCAGCCCACGACTACTCGTCTTCAACATACTGGAAAAATTGGTTAACAAGTCCATCTTTTTAAAAACTACCCCTTCCTCCCGCAGTCGAGTCGGTTAGGGCTTTGGTAGCCAATAAGTCTGACGATGCGCACGAGTCTTGTACGCACGCTCTTTTGCTTTCCTACTTACCTAATTTTCTAGCGTATTTTCGACAGTGACGTATTGACCACCAAGCCGACTGTGATGGGTGTACCACGCGAGCTCGGCCGAAAGACCAGATCAACCTCCCGCCTACTGCTTGCACGGTATCTATTTCCACGGTACCGACAATAGTGTAGTGTACAGCTAGGTGATATAAATGATACAATAAACAAATGATGTAATGAAACACCGTGTGATGTCGGAGGTGTGTTTTAGTGGTACCTATGATTTCTTTTTCTGTATGTCGCCGGTCCACTTAGACGGTCCAGTAGTTGTCATGCACACATCTGCGGCGAATAGGCTATGCACACTCAAACCCCCGCTCAACTCGTTGCCTACCCCGCTCCCGTCGAAACGTACATGTACCGGTGGTCCCTTCCCCCGCCCGCGGAACCTTTCGCGAAAGCGGTCACAGCTTCCATTCAGACTTCAACGCGGTATCACACCAGTTTATTTCTTCAAGATGCCTCAGAGAAACGTTATCTTTTCCGAGTCGCTTGTCGCGCTTTCCAAGAGTACTGTAGACATCACCAACTGCGCAACCCCTCGGCGGTTTCGCTGGATCAATGTCGCTTCTTTGATTGACAATCACCTTCAAATCGTCGAGTCCGACCAGCCTACCATTGACGACATTCCCTATGCAACAATTCCATACGTCTGGAGAGGGAAGGAACATATATGCGAGCCCGGCTGTCTCGGTATTTTCCATGTCGTCGGCGCGATGGACCCCGACACCGATCCCATCAGTATCGACTTACTACGTACCGCCGCCTTCGCGGCCCGCGGCCTCGGTGCCGAGTACCTGTGGCTTGACCGGTTGTGTATCATGCAAGCAGACCGCGATGAAAAAAACTGGCAGATCATGAATATGGGTGATATTTACAGAGCCTGCAAAACATGTCTGGTTTTCGCTGGTGGCCTGCGGCGGCTGGTTGGATTTGAGGAGGAAACCGACTGGATCCATAGAGTGTGGACTCTGCAGGAGGCAGTGGCACCACGTTCGGCGGAGTGCGTATTCCGGTTTGAGCGGGTCCTCATAGCCATTGCAGCGGTCAGCGGTGACCCCACCGTCTACACGGTCGAGAGAGGACGCAGCGGCAGAATGCCCTTGCGTTTCATGTTGATTGCTGCGGCATTGGGTGCGGTCGATCACCGGTACGAAGGGGATGTCGAGACGGGCAGGTACCCCGTCAATATCTTCGGCGAAAACCCCACCGCCAAGCTCCTCGTCACCGCGCTCATGGGTGTCTTTCGTTGCAGCAAAGATGTCGATGAGAGGGAGAATTACATGTGGCGCAGCGCGCTACTTCGGACATCGAAACGGCAAGTCGACATGGTCTTCAGCATGATGGGCCTCTTGGGGGTTAAACTAGATCCCGGCGAATATAAAAACCGGGAGGATGCCACGGTCGGCTTAACGCAAGCAATTCTAGCCAAAGGGGGCCGCGCGAACTGGATCCTCGCTTCCCATTAAAATACATTGCCAATCCCAACATTCCCTAATGCGTGCGCCGTCGGCAGAGCTAGTCATCGAACCGCGGATGGACGATTTGTGGAGCTTCACCATGATTTCGCAGGAGATTTCGATGTTGTCCTAGCGGATGCTCCGAGAGGTGTTCTCGATGATCGGGTGTTGAGGATGGTATTGCCCGTCGCCAGAGTTCGGCCCGTGATTGGAGAAGGTCAGGAATCGGTGGAATTTCTCGATTCCGAAGGAAAATCTAGTGGATTAGAGGCACCCTTCTCGGGGGCAACCGGAACGCATGCGGCTATTGTTGGGGAGCTGAGAAGGATACATATGCTCTGTGCAGTGGGCTCCCCCACGGATACGGTTATCATACTCGTCGAAAGATGCAGCCGCGACTCTAGGCTGTGGCATAAGACTGGGAATACCGCAATAGAGAGGTCGGCCTTAGAATGTTGCTTCGTGGAGGCTGAACTTATGTTTCCCATGTGCTGTCTTGATTGATCTTCATGATTCGGAGGAGGAGTCGGAGAAGTCAGAGGTTGGCAGGGGCAGCCGGAGGAGCCCGGGGAAGTAGGGGCTTGATTGTGCGGGCAACAGGACTTGCGGGTTCGAAGGAGGTGGAGGTATCAGAAAGATCAAGGGGGCTGGATCGGCCGTGTTGGAGGGACGCTACTTGGTGGAATATGTATCGAAAGCTTCCATCATTTCCTACTTGTATATGCAATCCAGAGAACCCAGCAGTCCGTCCGTCCCATAGCTCCCCAGCCGCTATGGAGCTCAGCTGTCATGCGACTGGGAACGACGGGAAGAGAGAACGAAAATTCGTCTCTGTCATGATTCCCAGTCACTGATGCAAGTGCACTAAAGCACGAGCCGTGCCGGGCCAGTATCTCCTACCACGATGCCCAGCTATTGGCGCACGTGCACCAGAGCACGTGCACCCTCGTGAAGTCACCACTGCTTTGTTCGTGCGGGCAATGCCGCCTCGTGCTTCATCCCGCTGAGACCTTTGCGAATAGACAGCACCAACACCTAAGACTCAGAATCGGCTCGCCAATCCGCCCAAGTTGCCAGCACGAACTCTGACCTCCGCCACCGCTGTCGCCGACTTCATTACTGCTGCGCGTTCATTAATCGTTGCCCCAACGCGTCATACATCTCTCGGACATCCATTCGACGTCCCGTTCGGCCGCAGCCTTCCAATTGATGGACGTCTTCACTATCAATGCCCTCAAAGCAGTCCGGTAGTAGGGCTATTCCCTCCTTATCGACGTTGTTAGGACGTAATTCCGATCGGGTCAGTGAAAATTCCCACAACTCTACTCCCACCAACGCGCGATTCAGCGATACCTAAGCTTTGAAACAAACCCCATCCTCTTCGACGCGCTATCGGGCTACGTGGTAAAGAATGGCGACATTAGTCCACGGCGGAGATTAGAAGAGATGCAGAGGGCGGGAGCAGTCGTCGAGCTGGTTCCGTATACGAAGGGCGCGGAAGCGCATGGCTTTTCGCGGAGGCGTTGGGGTTAGTCAGGACCCCTTCGCACCACCACTAGAGCTTTCGCGTCTCGAGCTGATCACGTACGGCGCGTCGCATAGCGCCTATCCTATCAACCCCAATGAGACCACGGCCCCTCAGTGCCGTCCCTCCGCCCTTCATGGCGGCGACAGCATGCGGAATACCTATGGACGTGTCGGTGGCCAGTACTCCCGCTTTGCCTGTTGCAACCACATACGCGTGATCACCCGGTCGTGCAACTGGCGAGCTTATTGCGAGAGGTGCTCCGCGCCCAGACGGCGAGGCATATGGTACATGCCTTCACCATCTGCGGAGCGAATATGAGAGTGTGGCGATTGGATCGTGCGGCGCCTGCTAGGTCTACCGACATCGATCACAGGCAGAATTTTACGTGCTGCGATACTGTGCTACGCCACCATGAACGTGTAACAAATCAGTTTCGATCCCTGCTTCCGATGGAACATGCGTAGTGTTGGAAATCGTGAAGAATATATAGTAGAGATGTATCGTATTGTTCTATAGAGGATAAAGAGAAAGATAGACACTCCCGACGGTGTAGGAAATAAGGGTGAAGGCCCGTTTCAATCCATTGAAAATTTGTGGCTATATATGATGTACTTTACACGTCAAGAGAGAGAGATCTTCAATTTATTTCACTACAAATACAGCAAAATGAGCGAGTGATGAACTGTGATCAAACATCAGCGTGATATCTTGCGATGTGCAATGTATCGCGTGATAGTTGACGAAGGATTGTATTGCAGATGATACCATACAATTGTGATCTAAGGAATTCTTATTGAAAGGATACAAGAATATGTGTAAAAGGATGTATGACATGTGAATGGAAATGATTACAAGCAGGAATGTAAGTGTTTACTGAGAAGGATATAGAAGGAACAAACAAAATAAGAGTGATGGAATGAATCACAATTAAGTCACGGAATTGTATTGCATGATTTGAAGAGGGAAAAGGAGTGAAACATGCGGATAAAAATCCGTATGGATGACTGTTTGTATTCATTCAAGTACTAGATGATCGTGAGTAGATGTACACAAGTTTGATCTTGAAGATATGGAGGAGAATTTATAGGAACGTGGCACAAAAATGATTCTGGTACAGTAACTGGGAAAACAGATGTTGATATATGCGAAAACAGATGTTGATATAAAAAGAGAAGAATATATGTTGTAGGAAAATTGTCATAGCAGTATTAAAAAGATGACTGATCATGTGAATGGAAATGAAACGGCACGGTCGGGCAAGGCTCCAGGTAGCGAAGTCGGCTCTGGGATCGGGTGCTGGGTTTGGCAGAGGCAAGACGGGTTCAGAGGACAATGTAAGGCAGCGCTCAGTGCAGACGGCAACCGGGAACGGAGGCAGGGACAAGCACTACGGCGCAGACGGCATGTGAGACTGGAACGGGTTTGTGTCGTCGGAGTCTATGGTATTATCGAGTGTAGAATAAAAGTCAGGGATTTCGATAATTGACAACAGAATAATCTTAAGGGTGTTTCTTCAGTGGTTTGTTCAGTGCGATGATTGTGTTTTTGGTCTGGTTGCCCGCTCGGTTCGACTTATAGTTGTCCCGATCCTCAGCACCTGATTTTTCTAGAGTGCGGCCTAACGTAGCTCCGTTTCTTCCTTGGCATCGGAGTTCCGCGGCCTGGCCTTGAGCCGTCGTCAGCTCTCTTCGGATGGTCTTCTCGACTAGGCAGGTGGTAAACACCACGCGCCCAAGATAGATCGCAGTTTCCGAGCAATTATCTCCCTCATGCGCCGGCAGAGTTCTTCGCTTGAAGTTCTCTGCCCCCATCCGTCGATGTTCGATTCTCTCGTCATAACAGTTTTTCCCTGGATCGGAGTTCCTACTGCGGGGCCGTATGAACGGAGATTTCAAAGTCCTCTGGACTGTTATCCCAATCACCCGCATCTATGATCACTGTCTAGACTCTGGAATCCGTTTGCTTCCTCCTTCCTATCTTGTCCATGATCGCTTCTAACTATCCTTTCGGCTCGCAACTCTATTCTAATCACCCGAACTATCTGATCACATCTCTTGCGACCGTCGTAACCTCCGATACCTATTGGGGTGTCACACCATCTCCCCTCCCACGAGGCTTCGGCCCGAAGCACCCAAGTACTCGCCTTTATCCTAACCTGATAACTGTGGATGAAGTCCTCCATCCCCTTCATCCTACTACCTGCCCGAGTTCGAGAAAACCACATGGGAACAAACTCTTACTCAGCTGTGAGCCGGTAGTCCCTCGGCGCATCGGAATTTTTGCAATGAATCTCGCGTAGGTTTTCCCAACCGCCTACTGAGAAGTTGTCGAATGGCTGGTTCGTCCAGTCCCGCCGTTCGGGGTGGTTGAGTGTGAGACTGGGACGGGTTTGTGTCGTCGGAGTCTATAGTAAAGTCGAGGATAGAATAAAAGTCAGGGATTTCGATAATTCACAACGGAATAATCTTAAGGGTGTTTCTTCGATGGTTTGTTCGGTGCGATGATTGTAGTTTGGTTCGGTTTGCCTGCTCGGTTCGACTTATAGTCGTTCCGATCCTCAACACGTGATTCCTCTAGAGTGCGGCCTAACGTAGCTCCGTTGCTTCCTTTGCATCGGAGTTCCGCGGCCTAGCCTCGAGTCGTCGTCAGCTCTCTTCGGATAGTCTTCTCGACTAGGCAGGTGGTAAACACCACGCGCCCAAGATAGATCGGAGTTTCCGAGCAATTATCTCCCTCATGCGCCGGCAGAGTTCTTCGCTCGAAGTTGTCTGCCCCCATCGGTCGATGTTCGATTCTCTCGTCATAACAGTTTTTCCCTGGATCGGAGTTCCTACTGCGGGGCCGTATGAACGGAGATTTCAAAGTCCTCTGTACTGTTATCCCAATCACCCGCATCTATGATCACTGTCTAGACTCTGGAATCCGTTTGCTTCCTCCTTCCTATCTTGTCCATGATCGCTTCTAATTATCCTTTCGGCTCGCAACTCTATTCTAATCACCCGAACTATCTAATCACATCTCTTGCGACCGTCGTGTCCTCCGATAGCTATCACGGTGTCACACCATCTCCCCTCCCACGAGGCTTCGGCCCGAAGCACCCAAGTCCTCGCCTTTATCCTAACTTTGATAACTGGATGAAGTCCTCCATCCCCTTCATCCTACTACCTGCCCGAGTTCGAGAAAACCACATGGGAAAAAACTCTTACTCATCTGTGAGCCGGTAGTCCCTCGGCGCACCGGGATTTTTGCGATGAAACTCGCGTAGCTTTTCCCGACCGCCTACTGAGAAGTTGTCGAATGGCTCGTTCGTCCAGTCCCGTCGTTCGGGGTAGTTGAGCCATTTGACGAGGTAGAGCACTCGTCGACCTTTCTTCGAGCTGCCCATAACCTCATCGACGTCGTATTCTTCGTTGCCTTCCACATCATTGGCCTCTCGTAAGATTTGAGAGGGATCCGGTGGTGCTCG